CGTCTCCTCGCTGCGTGAAACCTGCTCAGCCGCTCGTCTCCGGCTGCCCCGGACCTAGCTCCTGCCCCGTGCCCGGGTTTCTGGGGTACTCGAGAAGCCACCCAGCGCTTCTGTAACGGAGGGGAGCATCCCTCCCTCCCTCCCGGGGTTGTAAGGCGCGGGGAAGGGTCGGTGGGGGGCAGCGAGCTGCCAGTGCTTGTCTGGGGGTTCCCCTGTATGTGACGTGGGCGAACCCGGCCCTCTGCGCTTGCCAGGGGCTCCCTTTGCATGTGCTTTGCCATCACCCGCAGTAATACCGGCTATGGCGGCTGCTCGCCTACAGCTGCTCCCCTTGGATCCGGGAGACGAAGGCACGCAGAGATGCAGGATGGGACCCGCCACTCTGTCCTCTCTGGGAGCCAGGCTCGGGGCCCCAGTCAAGATCACGGTTCCTGGTGGCTGCTGTTTGTGCACTGCTTGGCCCAGGCATGATGTGACTGATGGCTACCTGCAGCTAGATCTGAAATGCAGAACTTCAGGTTTAACTGCAAGCAAGTTGAAAAGTCTCACACTGAGTGTCAGCCACTTGAAGCTTTTGGCCTGTCACCCGCTGAGAAAAGTAATAGTGAAAGTGGTACTTAAGAATCTTGCCTTGAAAAAGGCCACCCCACAAGCAACACTGCAGGAGATAGTGAAAGAGCTGCTGAGAAATGTGTATGTTTCTCTTCACCATGTTGTTACTGCTGCCCCAATTCCTGGAAATCCAGTGGTGTGTGTTGAAATACTGTCTGTAGATCCATTTACAGAACAAGCTGGCCTGATAACCCCCAAAACTAATATAAATGTTAAAGAAGTGGTCACTTTAGAATGGTACAGACACTTGTCAAATGATACCACAAAAATTTCAGTTGCAGGAATGGATGATTTGGGCAGCTCTTTGAAGGAGAGAATTGTTTTGCCTTTCCATTTCCCCAAAACCTTCAAGAAGTTGGGTATCTCTGTCCTTAGTGGAGTACTGTTGGTGGGCCCTCCAGGTGTGGGGAAGACTCTTCTTGTAAAGGCAGTTGCAAGGGAAGTGGGAGCATATTTACTTTGCATCAGTGGTCCAGCTATATATGGCTCAAGGCCTGGAGAAAGTGAAGAAAATTTGCGAAGAGTTTTTGAACAAGGCAGGGAATTGTCCTGCGAAGGACCAACCATTCTCTTTATTGATGAAATTGACTCTTTGTGCCCTAAACGGGGAAGTTCGAACAGCATCCCTGAAAATCGCATTGTTGCTCAATTGTTAACACTTATGGATGGCATAGGCAGTGAAAATGAGATGGTTGTTATGGCAGCAACAAACAGGCCCGATGCCTTAGATTCTGCACTGAGGAGACATGGTAGATTTGACCAAGAGGTGAGAAAAGTCTGTTCTTCTTGATTAGTTTCTGACACTTCAATACCATTTGTCATTTTTCTATTGAAAAATCAATTCAGGGCCTAGTGATGGTGTTCTGCAATGTCACATTCGGTGATCAGATTTGATGCCCTATGTCTTATGGTTAGATCAGTGACCCACAAAGGAGAAGGAAAAGTTACCTTTTTGCTACTTTATAGTTAGGCTTGTAGGGTTTTTTCCCCTTCTTGGTTTTTACATTGTTGATTAAAAAGCACACGTATTAAATCTGTACTTACACTAATGTAGGGCATTAACTGAACCATACTATGTTGATTAAAAACTGGAATGATTCAGAATTGTTGCACATTAAATGGGCTAACTGACAATTACATTATGAAACCTATAAATGGAAGGGTTAGGGGTTCACAATCACTGATATAGTCTGCAGCAGACACACTGTTTGGGAGAATAAATAATTGCTCTAGGTCACAGGTAAGATGCACAAGCAATGTGTGTTTTTATTAATGTACCCAAACAAAAAATAGGAATAAAGAACATGGGCCATATTTATAGGGGGAGGGATTCTATCTTGGGAAGCAGTGGCTGAAAAAGACTTAGGGGCTATGGTTAATAATCAGCTGAACAGAGGTGTCTAGTGTGACACTGGCCAAAAGCATTAATGCCATACTTCATTGTATAAACAGGAATACTGAGTTAATAGGGAATTTATTTCTATATTTGGCACTCTTGCAACTACTGGTGGAATACTGAAGTTTTAGTGTCCACAATTCAAGAAAGGTGTTAATAATTTGGAAGTGGTTCAGAAAAGAGCTGACAGAATGATTAAAGAATTTGAAAAATGTGTTAGAATAGGACAGGGAATCTTTTTTTCTGTCTGGGACCACTTACCCACAAAAAAAAATCAATTGGGGGAGCCACAAAAGCAAAAAAACCCAAAACCTCACTACTTGCCTGCTCCCAAGTGAAAAGCCAAAAAACAAACAAACAAACAAACCCCTCACTGGTCACCTGCTGTCAAGGTAGAAAAGAAAAAAAACACCTCTTGCTTAAATGGGTGACTCCATGCTCCAGCCCTGCAGGAGGGGCCTGGGCTTCTGGCCTGCAGTTCAGAGACTTGTCACTGGCAAGATGAAATTAAGCTGGGGGATGGAGCCACTCGTGGGCTATAGATTCTCCACCCTTCCTTACAGTGATACAGTCCAAAAATTCAATCTATTTAGCTTAACAAAGAGCAGGCTAAGGAGTGATTTCCATACACAAGTTTCTACATGGCAAACAAAATCTTCAGTCTAGTAGACAAGGGTGTTTGGAAACTGACTTTCAAATGGAAATGCTGCATACATTTTTAACAGTGAGGGTAAGTAACCATTGGCACAAGTTAGGAAAATCCACCATGTCCCTTCCTATCACAGAAAATGTTTTGAACAAGATTGGTCCAAATGAGCTGCTTCAGTTCAAATATGAATTGGTTCAGGGAAGTCCTGTAAGAAGTTTGTGTTACACAAGATGTTAGACTGATTGATCATAATCTACTGGATATGCAGATATGCAGCATAAAAGTACTTTTGCTGGTATTCATCATTTTGGTTGTTGAACAGGTATAAATTTTACTTCAAATGCAATTAATGGCCAATATAAGGTGTATCTATGCTTGGAGTTACACCAGCAAAATTTTTCGAGGATAGGCCTGGCCTAAAAAATGAGCTGAGCTGCTGGTAGAAATAGCAGACTGTATTATCAATAATGTATTAAGATAGACAAAATCAAATTATTTCAGTGGGGCACCATTCACAAGCACTAAAACTACATCTAAAAATGAAAAGTAGTACATTGTTAGGGCTATGGTCTCCAACCAGTTCTGAAGCAGCAGCCAGTATAGTGTCTATAGCTATACCGAACTGGCCACACTCACTGGCCAAATAGCCACATGTGGCTAGCGTGTTGGATACCATGGTTGTAGGGACTTTTTGGATTGTGCATAAATTGATGATATTCATGTCTAATAGAGGTAGTTCTAAAATCTAAGAACAGATAGAATCATACTAATTCGCACACACAATTGACACTTGTCACTTTTATGAACGATTTAATAGCAGAGTTCTATAGCCAGAGCCCCATTTTAGTTAAGGTACTCGCTTCATTATTTTTACAAAATATACCATCTTTGATTGTGTCTTATCTCAAACATCAAATGCTAACTTACAGTTGTCAAAATAAATTGACAAAAAATACATTTAGCAAAATGATTCATCCTTGTTTCCTTTATTGTTTATCCATGCACTCTCTAAAACTTTGAACCTGCAACAATCTCGATGCAAGGGTCTGTTCCAGGATGATGGCCTAAAATGTGTCATTCACAAGCGTTATCCCAGATCCTTCAAATTAGATAAATTATGCTGAACTACATTCACGCTTATCTAAATTTTAAGGATTTTGCAGCATTTAATGAAATACACAATTTTGGTTAAATTTTAGCAGATTTTCAGTAATTTATGCACATTCTCTACGCATTTTTATTTTATTCATATACACCTATTGGTCCTTTTTTGTGCTACTGAATTACATTTTTGTACAGTCATGTTTTCTTTGGTCCATGTATTACAGAGTTTAAAGTAATCATTCTCCATGGGGTTTTTTTCTATTTGACTTGTGGCCTGTACAGTTTTTTAAAATAGAAAAGTATGTTGTCACTAGCCTCCTGTGTTCTTATGTTCCAAAGAAATTATTATTTCACTATTAAATCTCCCATTGATTAATCTTTAAACACTAAGTGGCATTCTTTATAAAACATGCATTTGTTCAAATTAAAATGTATGTGTAAATGAAAAGTACTGATACAGTTCATTATATCTTCAAAGGATTATAGAGCTATTAATTAGTCCCTTGTCAAACAGTGTAAAAGGAGGAGAATTGATGCAAGGGAGTCCAAGATACGAACAATATAAGTGACTTGTCTAGGTCTGCAGAGATGAGAGAGGAATAGCAAAACACTGATAAATTTCCATTTATGGTATTTGTTTTAGATTATCATTGGAACGCCAACACTTAAACAGAGAAGATCTATTCTACAGCTGATTACTTCTAATATGCCTATTTCCACTGATGTTGATTTGATTAACCTAGCAGAAATGACAACTGGATATGTTGGAGCTGATCTTACAGCACTCTGCAGAGAAGCTGCTATGCAAGCTGTCCTGCGCAGCTGTTTGGTAAGGAGTCAGTTTAAACCAGAAAGATATCATTATTTATATTTATAACTTTTCCCCACTCAATTTTGAAATATATAATATGATAAATTAGGTACGTGAGAATATTCAAAACAAGCAAGCAAGCATTATAGATGTAATTATAAGCTTTCCTATAGTCTTTCAAGCCATGCCTTAAGTTGAGTGAAAAGTCAATGTAGAATATCTGTATTCTCTCCATAAGCTATTTAGTGTTGTACAAGGCTGGGAACATAAGTTCTTAATTGAAGAGCAAATGCTATATGTTTTTTTCCACTTAAGATGAACTTTTTATCAGCTACAGTCAACTTATATAAAATTCTGTTTCTTAATAAGGCGAACTATGTAGTAGTTTGTGGTTTGCACAAATACTGACTTATTTTACTAATCTAATATAACATGAATATACTGGCCAAAAGAGAACAGTTAGGGCACGTCCACACAGCAGGGCTAAAGCCAAAATAAGCTACGCAACTTGAGCAACATCAATTCCATAGTTTAAGACAAAATAGCTTATTTCAGCTTTTGGCAGTGTCTACACAGCAGGAAGTGTGAGAGAGAGCACTCTTCCTCCAACTTCCCTTACTCCACATAAAATTAGGGTTATAGGAATTGGAGTAAGAAGTCTTCCAGTTGGACGTTATTTTGATATAGTCCATGTCTATACCACATGCAATTATTTTGACAATGTTATTTCAGAATAACATTATTCTGAAATACCACTGCTGTGTAGATGAGCCCTTACAGTTCCCCATGGCACAGGAGTAATATTTCTGGGATGATGCAGATATAGATCTCAAGGAAGCATTGTTTGTTACTTCCACACACACCCCTTCGACGGCTAGCTAGGAGAAAGACTTGAAAAGCCTTCAAATGTTCCTTTGTTCAGCGAGGCAGAGTGGGGTGGAAGTCAAGACAGAGAGAGAAAATAAGGACAGCCTGAGTAATTAGTTTCCTTACCTGAAAAGATAATGAAGTAAATAATAAAGCAATCAATTTGCATGACCTGAAAAGATAATGAAGTAAATAATACATGCAAATTGATTGCTTTATCTAGAAAGTGAAGTGATATGTAACAGCATGGATTTGTCAAGAACAAATCACGTCAAACCAACCTAACGACTTTCTTTGACAGGGTAACAAGCTTTGTGGAAAAAGGAGAAGTAGTAGGTGTGGTACATCTTGACTTTATTAATCCTTTTGATACTGTCTTGAGATGTTCTCATAAACAAACTAGGGAAATGCAACCTAGATGGAGCTATTGTAAGATGGATACAAAATTGCTTGGAAAATCATTCCCAAAGTGTAGCTATCAATGGCTCACAGTCCTGATGGACGGGCATAACAAGTGGAGGTCCTGTAGAGATCAATTCTGAGTCTGGTTCTGTTCAATAGCTTCACCAATGATTTAGATAATGGAGTAGAGAGTACATTTATACAGTGTGTGGATGATACAGAGCTGGAAGGGGTTGTGAGTGCTTTCAAGATAGAATTCAAAATGATTTGGACAAACTGGAGAAATGGTCTAAGGTAAATATGATTAAATTAAATAATGACGAATGTAGAGTACAGGCAGTCCCCGGGTTACGTACAAGATAGGGACTGTAGGTTTGTTCTTAAGTTGAATCTGTATGTAAGTCGGAACTGGCGTCCGGATTCAGCCGCTGCTGAAACTAACCAGCGGCTGACTCCAGGAAGTCCGAAGCAGAGCTGCTCTGCCCCGGATTCCTGGAATCAGCCCCTGATCAGTTTCAGCAGCGGCTGACTTGGGTACACCTGGGACCGAGCAGCTTGGGTGCTGCCGGGTTGGTCTGGCAGCGCCAAGGGTTGGCGCTACCAGACCAACCTGGCAGTCCCCCAGCTGCTCTGTCCCAGGCATCTGGATTCAGCCGCTGTTGAAACTGACCCGCGG